TTTATTTTACTTTATTTTATTCTTTACAATTTATATTCTCTCCCCCTCTCGTTTTTTCTTTTTTTGTATATCTTTCTTTATTATGAATATCGAATGGCATAAAACAAAATTAATTTATTATACAAAAACAAAAAAAAAAAAAAAAAAAAATATGCTGAAACGCCAACCCTTATCAATCTTTAAGATAATGTGAACACAAATTTCTCATATTAGTCAAGCGACTGGATATATTAGCCAAATTTAATGTTAAAAAAATGTTTTTGACCATTGAAACAAATAAAGGTTTTTGCGAAATCGAAATACTTAACGTTTTATTTATCCAAACCAGAGTCTGTTAAGCATTTGGCTGAAATTTACAGAGGCTGACATTGCGTCTTGTTTCATGAAAGGTATTAGAAGAGATTTTTTTGTCTTAATTAGAATGATTTTTTTTTATTGAGGTGGAAAATATTACTTGAATGTGTAGTTTAAAAAGACATGATAATTTAGGCTTCAAAGAGATTATTAAATTGAGGAAATCACGTAAGGTTATTTCATTTATTGACGCCTTCTCAGCTTTCACCTTGCCAGACGACAGTCAGGGTAGGCGGCCGGACATAACAAGACTGGACGCATGAGAGCAAACGTCACCTCGTATTAACATATCTATGGGTCATTTCGACGGTCGTCTGCTTGTGGAAGATGAAGAAACGTGCGGAATTCCACGTCGAAAATTGAATCAGTTCCGTCTGGGGAGGCGACTGAGGAAATCCGTTAACGAGAAACCCTGGCACAAGTCCGTTCACCTCGTGACATTGTATGAAGTGCAGTAAGTTCGCCGTGGTTGAAATGCTTACGCGTCCCCGTGACTCATACCACTCTGGTGCTGTTTTATAACTATCAAGATAATCCAAGTCCGTCAACATAGGCCTACTCTTTAGACTTCAGATCTTAAGAACGAATTTATATCATTATTTATATGTGCTTTTATTTTTATTACAACTTCTTCAAATTAAGGTCGACATTTTTGTTACTAATTGGTTAGCGAACACTAAGTAAAAATGGCAAAATTTTCAAAGATTGCTGAACTTTGAATTTTGACATTTTTGGGTGATAATGTTGTGAAATTCTTAAAAGGTTTGGCAGATAATTATTAGCAATTTGTTAAAAAGTTTTGCTTTTCGGTCAAACAAACTTTGCATCATTTATTTAAAAAAAACTGGAACAATTTATCTTTATATATTTCATTGAAAAATAACATTGATAATAAAATAGAATATAAAGAACTACCTCTGCTCACTTGACAAATTGATGAATTTCAACCATCCTCTCTCCCCCGTGAAGAGGGGGGGAAAAGAAAATGGAATGCTGGAAAAAAAACTGGCAATTAAACCCGCGGTGTACAATTTACATACTTGATTTCTGGGAGCATGAGAAGGCAGCCATTATAGAAAAAAGGGTGACAATAAAACGGTGGAGATTTTTATTTCAGACGGACAAGAGTGCACCAGAACCTACTGGTTTGTATTGGGTACGTTTACGCCCCGGGCATAGCGGCGACAAGCCGTCATCTCTTGTTGTCAGTGTTGCGAGGTGCCTCTGTTTTCTCTCCAGTTTTATGTCGATAAAAGTCCCGGTTCAGTGAGTACAAATTCTGTATTTTTGTGTGTAATCGCGCGCAGTAAGCTGTTATAAAACACTCATATATTTTAATGGGGTCTATGTCGCAGTCGTTTCGCTTCGGTGAGTCGTCTGTTTGTGTTTGTCTCCTGATCCGTGTGTAGTTAATAATAATACCAATTTCGTGGCACAAACTGTCGAAGTCTTTAAGAGCAATTGCGTCAGCAAAAATATTCCCTCCGACCGCACTTGAAGGTTCGCTGCGTGCACGCTTTCATCCCTTTTTTTTCGCATTTCACATTCATTTAATTGTTCGAAAGTTTTTTCAAACTCCTACGTGCACCAATAATAACAAAAACAACAAAATCATACAAATCTGACTGTCATGTTTCTTCAAAATATTTTCCTGATTTGATCTAAATTCTAGTTAGCCTATGTCAGTGGACAATTAAAACCTGTCCAGAAATGCCTCGTACGCACTCTTTCCTTTTCAGCCAAGAAATCATTTTGAAAAAAAGTAATAATAAAAACGATCGAATACTATTTTTCATTACGATTTCGTTACGAACCCAGAAAAACAATATCGAATTATAACAATAGAATGAATTTTATGCGGTCTCCTTTTACGCAATTTTGTCAGGAGATTTTATCTCTAATCTAATTCATCCATATTTCTCTTCGCCGTCTTTACGGCAGTAATTCATATTATCTATGCACCTTTTTCCCTACAAAAAATTCCAATCGATTCCCCGCCGTGCCCCTTTAGCCTGGAAAGGTTCACGCGGCAGACAAGCAGACGGTCTCTCGTCAATAACATTTCACGCGCGACTTACGGCAGAGCCGCTATCGATTGAGGCGAATGAAGGTCACGCCAGTCCGCGGGATCTTCCTCTTCTTCATGCAGAGCTTGGGCTGCTCCCCGTGCTGTTTTGGCCCTTCTGCGGTGTGGTCTAGATTCCAGGTGAATTATTCATTTTAGAAACGCAGAGCCTGGGGCCGCTTTACGTAAAGTAATGGTAATCGCCGGTTGGAATACATACTCCAGGTGAATTATGAACCTCTATAAAACAGAGTCAAGGGCTGCTATGCGCGTCGTTACGGCCTCATGATTACGAATGAACTTCTCATTCCAATTATCCAGGGCATAGGGCCGCTTTACACGTCGAGGTGGCCCTTGTGTATTGTGGTCGAATTTCCAATTGAATTTCTTCATCGAGCGTGAACTCCGCCCGGCAAGTATGACGGGACCCGCTAATAACCGACATGCTTTGTATAACTGTATTTGCAGACTTTAAATGTGAGAATTCAGTGCGTTACGTAGCTGACCGCGTTTTGTAACAACGAACATAGTAAGTCTGCAAATAATGAAAATCAGCGAAGGGTGTCGCATTAGATCGCTGCAGGCGACAAACGGGTTGATTACTAAACCATCAAAATCCTTTCTGGATTGAGAATTAAATTCTCCTACTTTATCTTAAAGGACGCGGAGGGTTAGTACTTTTGTATAACGACCCCATTTAATGCAAGCTGTCATTTTTTTCTGGCATATTAAAGTCGAGGCTCGTTCTCTGCTGAGTTGTGATCCAACTTAACACTTAGCCAACTTTATTATCTTAGGAAGGTGAATTAAATAACATTTTACATAATACAATAAACCTGAGTGGTTAGAAATGTTAAGGGGGGCATTGATGTTAAACTTGGCATAAAATTCTCGTTTTTTGTTACCCTGCAAAAGGTAAAAAACTAAATGTGCAGTCACGTTCGTTCTTTTGAAATTATATAACCATCTTTTGTTCTCACGCCTCCTTTCTTTCTACGATTTCTGTTTCGTTCTGCGGTATTTTTTCAGTCCCTTGCCTTTTTATCAAGTGCATGTTCTGAATGCACCGATTCGCACCCGTATACGTTCTCACACTACGACGCTTCATCTAGGGCCGACGGAGAGGAGAAAAAAATACCAATTTCTATACACTGTTCGTTGAGTCGTGACACCCAATACGCTTAGTGTTCGGAAGAGGCGGCCGCCTTTTACAGATGAACAGTGGTCGATTTCACCCTTCATCACGCCCCGATGGCCGCGCCGTCTCGGATGTGGAGCGTGAAAGAATAGGGTCGTTATTGTACGCCGCTGTCAAACTAACAACAGAAATAATTTAGGCATTCGATTTTTTTTTCTCTCTCGTTTAATCTTGAAGTTTTGCCAGGCACGTTGAGTGAGTGCAGTCCGGGTCACGCGGGATTATGAACGCTGATCGATATTTGGCGCGATTTCAGCGATAATTCTGTCGTCTGCGCTTCAACGTGGATTTTGCATGAGTGACTGCGTCGGTAAAATTAAGGTTGATGTTTAAGGATGATTAAAAAAAAAGACCAAAGCTCAATATTATTTATTCAAACGAGCTTGATGAATCGACCAGTGGTTTGCGCCCAGCATGAGTGAGGAAGGAGTAGCGCAGAATAAATACGCGTAATTCTAAATAATGGTGTGCAGTTGCCGACATGGTGATCACAACATTAAGACATGACTCCGTTGGAATTGGGATCGCGCCTGAGGAGGACCTGCTGGCGCCGTTAAATTGTGAACTTTCGTGAGCGGTTCGATTACCAATTTAACCCCGGCACCACTCTTGTTAGCTTCGCTTCCCGCCTTAACTAACGGTCTCTACGGGCCGCCGTGACAGCAGACTCATTATCGCCCTGTCAGCCAGCGGAGCCTTGGCCGGCGCTGTTTGCTTGCTTTGATAGCAGAGAGAGAGAAGAGAGAGAGAGAGGTGTATGTGTGTGTGTGTGTGTGTGTGTGTGTGAGAGAGAGAGAGAGAGAGAGAGAGAGAGAGAGAGAGACAGCATTACAGCTTCAAACTGTGGTGAAATTGATGTGTTAGTTGGGAAGTTGAGAGACCTTATTTTACCCTCATAGATTGAATTTGAAGGGTATTATTATAATCCACAAGACGTGTCTTATGTGACAAATTAGGGCCTCTCGCCGTGGAGAGGGATTCTTCTGTGCTCTGCCTAAACGCAGTTTTGTCGTTGTACTGTCTGCCTTTTCCAAAGATAAAAGAATGAATAAACTATAATAAGTAAATGAATATAGAAAGATGACTAATGGAAAATACAGCGTTCTTGTTGCCCTGATTCATAAGTGAAATCCAAGTATTTTAAACGGCCTTTCTTTCTAATGGCTTTAAAAAAATATCCATTTGATATAGTTATTAATAATTCTAACAACAAGGTAGACAAATCTAATATTATAGAAGTCACATTCTTTTATTGTGTTTTTTTTTATATTGCAATATATTTTTACCAAAATAAGTTAATTTGTCATGCAAGTCAATGGATGATGTGTTATATCCCTAACTCTCTTCATTTCGAGAAAAAGTAACCTTTCTCTTCTGTTTCAGCACAAAACAAGGCTTACCAAGAAGAAGTCACCAGAATTCAGCGACTATGGGCGCATGCGCATAGGTATCGATGGAGTTCCCCTAGAGAGGGCGCCATATTCCGCCTCCTTTTCACTGGCTGAACTCTGGAAACAACGGGAAAAACAGTTAGAGTAAGTACCATCGACCTTATAGAACTAGCACACATTAGAGTAAGGATGGACTTGTAACAGAATAAATTTTCGAAGTATTTTTTTTTTTTTGAAAAATTTCTGCGGTAGGCTGGGAGATCAAACCCGAACAGGTGCAGTAGCCTTCACCACTATAATTTTACTGACTAAGCATTTGTTTTGTTTAACGTCCGTGACACGCCTGCTTGAGTGATTGGCATTATCAAATTTATGATAACTGACATATTTATCGAAATTGTCTTCTTCGAATAAGGCCACTACTCCCAAATAATCATGTAGTCCTGTCAACAAGTACCCGGTAATAACATACTATCAGACTACATGGAAAAGATGAAGAGGTTAGAATTTTTCTTACGAGGAAACTTCGAATAATTGGCTCCGTTTTGTCCTTCAAAGCACGGAACAGACACAAAATTTATATTTATATACAACAGTTATCACGTGGGGAACAGATGAAGGACAGAATAATAGATGGTCGCTGTCAGCGTAGTTCCCCGTTTTTAATCTATATGTCGCCCTCTAAGCACCCTGTACCTTATCACGGCACGATGCAATTTGGAGCGACGTTTAAAAAATCACGTACGCAGTTCCTCGCGTGCCTGTTGTCGAGGGTGGACCTTGGCTGGGGTTATCGCACCAGCAACTCTCCGTGTTTACACGCGTGTTTTATCCGATAACATTGTTGCTAGGACGGCGGCGCAACCATGCCGCGTGTATCTGTCTGTGCATGTTTTGTGATAGCGGCTGTCATCTCGCCGTGTACCTCAACATGTACTCCTCTGATCGTGACCTGGAATACAATCGGGGTATTTTTTTATGTACAGACACGTCTTGTCTCTGCACGTAGCCATCACCTGCGTCTGTTGTCGCCGTTGTCGTTGTATTCGTGCACTTTCAGTGATAACACGCTAAGTGGAAAACCGTTTGAATTTTTGCCTTCAGACTTTTGCCTTCAGACTCCAGAATATTTTTTTTAGTTCTTTTTAAAATAGTTTATTTTATGTGGCAAGAATTACTCCAGTCGTGTCTCCAATGACCAGTGTTGATTCCTTGGTAAAATGCAATCATAATTTGATTGTTTTATTGCTTGATTATTAAACAACCTATGAGTGAAATATGAATATCCACCAAAAAACCGCGGTGTTTCGGTACTTGGAGTTCAATAGAATGTTAAAAAATGAGAACGCGTTGGTCTTTAGGAGCAACACAAAAGTGACACGTAAAGCATGGTTAATAGGCTACACACTGTTGTGAAAAAGACTTTAGTTCTTCAGAATTTACAAAAATAAAAAAAAAACAGCCAAAAAATATCCGTGGCTAAATTCTGTTACCGTCTGTTCGTTAGTCTGCCTTTATTTCTGACCCCACTCTCCTCCAAATCCCGTTAAATCTCGCTTCATGTAAGATTAAGTCGCAAGACTTAGAGCTGTCTCGGATTTTCCCATTAGAGTGATATTGGGCTCGGTAGATCGGGTGGGAGGGGGGGAGGTAAGCACTCTTATCAAACGTGCCACGTGTGATATTGTCATGCACCCCAATAACCTTACGATTAGGGGATCGCCCACCATAAGAACTATGTGACCTTGCGTGCAATGTAATTTGTCAGCCACAGTATGGTTGACTCTTAGCGGAGGAGGTGTGGATTGCTTGCACCTTTTACGCAAGGAAATTGTGACATTTTTGTGACTTTTGATTTAATTTATAAGCGCATCATTTGTATTGTTTCAGAAGTCTGCGAGAGTCTCGTCTCACAAGTATAATAAACCAGTTGAGGAAGAGCAAGGAGGAGATTCAACACTTTCAGGAGGAGGGTTATCAGACCAGTATTAAAGGTGAGAGAGAGAGAGAGAGAGAGAGAGAGAGAGAGAGAGACGGAGAGAGAGGGAAATCGGGCCCATAATGTTCATCTCCTTATATGCATCAAGACATATAGGCCTATTGTACTGTCATGGGGAACACGTTTTTAATCATAGGTTTATTCACTTCTATAGAAAAGATAAGTAGATATCTCTACCACATTTCGATCGATTTTTTTCTCACTATGGTAGACTACATTGAAGTGTGCTATCCTTAATCGTTTAATGTTTTTTTAGACTAATAAAGGTTACAGCCGAGCGAGGCTAAACATAGAAAAATCAAATACAAAATCTGACATACTAATCACTAATCATATTTTAGAATACTGTTGTCTTACAATCAAATTTTTGCAGATGTCGAGACGATAAACTGGCCAATTTCTAATAAAAATTAAATTCGTTTTAAAGAAAGAGTTAATTTTTTCAAAGGCGAGTAGGCCTAATCCTTTTTAGTCCCACATCGTGGGATTTGCATGTGTAAGAGATATTTGGACATTTTTACGCGCTTTTGAAGCTTGGTTTATTTATCCTAAAAAGTAAAACGTTTATTATTATTATTATTATTATTATTATTATTATTATTATAGGTTCAGCCGACAATGTGGTGTCAGATGTAGATAAAGCGCGCATGCTCGAAAACTCCTCAGCTCCGGGACATCTCGAACCGTCACGTGATAGGGCTGACAAGAGTTCTGAAGAAAATACGGATTCACAGCGACCGCAGTCAGCACCGAACTGTGTGATGCTCGAATCAGCGGCCAGATCTCAAGATCAATCACCATCAAAAGTGGATTCCAGCTTGCCCAATGAACGTCCAGAAAGCGGATTGGTTATGCTAGCAAATGAAGCGCATGCGCGAGCCATGGAGACCGGAAATTGTAGTAACTTGATACGTCAGCTTGCTGCGCAGCACAGCAAGTTTCAAAGGTTTGTTTTGTTATCTGGCATTTGAGTGACCTGTGAACGCTTTACGTGTGTCTTGAAACGCATTGATACGTGCTCATAAATTTTAATCTAATAAGAATATACCAATCAAGATAACGCAGTTGTAGACCTACACGGATTAACCCTAAGTAAACTAAGATTTCGTGGAAAAAAGATGTAGGCCTATAGGGAAGTAGAAATAAAACCGAAACTGTAGCTGTCATTTTGGAAATTGTAACTTACATCGAAAACTGTAGGATGCTTATTATACATGTATGTTTTCTATACGCCTTAAACTATAGTGCCCCCCTTTTTCCATATTTGCAGTTCCCAAAAACAAACGCCAGATCACATGGCCATGATGGAGGGCGAAACCATCCCAAGACTACCTCAATGTCCAGAAATTGGGAGATACCCGACACACGGATTTTATCCCCCGCCCCCTCCTTTGCTCCAGGCGGTTTACCAGCCCCCCGTCAGGAACGGTTTACATTCCCAAGGTCGTCTGCTAGAGCTGAGGAGGCCCTTGACCACGCTACACACATACGACACACTCAAACGCCCGGCGCCTCGAGACGAAGACGCTCCAGTAGATTTATCGGTGAAAAGAAATAGACTTACTAGTTCCCAAGAAAGACTTAGTGCGTTCGATACAGTATACGTCGGCTCGCACGGACTTCAGACAAACTGCATGCCGAATATAAAAAGTGAGCGACACGTGGACTTGAATGACAATATCTCGTCCACACCACGTGGGCGAGAGCTATTACGAGATTACTTACACGAAAGCCCGCAGTGCCCGAAGATGACAGCGGATCAGAAAAGTATGGTGCAGCAGATGCGGTATTGGAGCGCGGACGACGTCGTTAACTTTATTAAAACGTTCCCGGACTGCGCAGATTACGTTGAGGTAAAATCTCATATTTTGATGACCAACTGTACCAAAAGTCGACAACTTCTAGCTGTATGCTCGTTTCATGTATGATGTTTTGCCTTGCACGTGGAAATAGGCACAGGCCTGAAAAGCGGCATTCATAAAAGATGACATATTTAGCTGAAACCCAACATTGATATTTAACCATAATTCATATCGCACGGGCCCCTTAATCTCTGTTGGGAAAATTGTATTGATTAATTCTTTCACTCACTCATGTCCGATTTTACATTTCAGCGATGGAAATCTTTCATAAAAAAAACTTGTAGATAGGCCCTATATAAAATAATTTATCACTGTAGCGTCTTTGACGGAAGAATTTTTACATTTTGTTTTTACTAGATTTACTCACATTAGAAAATATGTTTCACAATACATACAACAATAATGAAGTGAATTATAGTGAATTCTGAACATAGTGACTCAAAATTTTCTCCTCTCATTTCAGACTTTCCGGGAGCAACGCATCGATGGTCAGAGTCTGCGTCTACTGAGTGTGGACCTGTTAACCAGTTCTCTGGGAATGAAGCTTGGCCCGGCGCTCAATCTCCGGGCCTTTATAGCCAAACTGTGCGGCCAATGTGACCAGTGCAGGCATTGCTTACATTGCCATCAAAACGACAGTGAAAACTGAGGCGAAACTGTTGACTTTCAGCCAACGCAATACCAACATGTCTCCGCCAACACAATTGTGCCTGTTCTCACCTAACGCAATGCTAACGCACGTGGCATGCAAAGTTGACTTTCGTTCGTTCTATACATTCGGCCTTCTTCGGGTATTTTTGACAGGCCTAGGTGTATCAAACGATTCAGCGACTGATTAATAATACAATGGCGATATTTTGGGTGCAGCCATATACATTCCTGATTAGCAACAAGTTTTTGATTTTTTTTTTTGGTAACTTTAAGAAGAGAGTTTCAGGAAAAACATCTCTTCAAATGTGTATTAAACACTATTATTTATTATGTCATTTGATAATTTAGAGAGGTACCAAAAACATTGTCAGCATGTTGCAGCTTTGATGGCAGTTAAGTTTTTGCCGTAAAAAAGTTGTGCTACAATAACGATTTAACTTATTGAAATTCGTTTGCTTGTTTGTTTGTTTATTACTTTATACTAAACACAAGATAAATACTGTTTGGAAATGTATAGTTAACTCCACATACTTATTTGCACGAGTTTTTTTCAAGAAAGGATGTAACGAATTTATTTAAATTATACGGTGCCCTATCGATCCATTGCCAATAAATTAGCTTGTCCGTTAGTATTCTTCGTAGCTTTACAGTTTAATGCACCGTTTGAACAGAGAGCTTTTAATAGTCATGAATCAAGTTATCATTGTTCCCACGTTTTTAACGATTTCACGATAATTGCTCAAAGAAAACGCATCCGTAGAGGGCTGTTAGGTCGTCCTTTTCCAGATAGAGTGTCACAGAGAGAGAGAGAGAGAGATTAAAATTAGCTGCACCTAGTATGTTAAAGGCTTACCGTTCATTTATATTGGACGGCCTCTTTTTTTTTGGATGTTTTTCTATAGTCGGTAAGTTTGCTCATTGTTTAGTGCTAGATTATTAGTTCTGTTAACACCAATGGATACAATCCTTAAATAGGCCGCAAGCGGAATTTGGTCTCACACACAATTAATACAAAAAATCTGCCTTAAACAACTTTCTAGTGTCTCTACTTTCCAGTCATCACCAATTCGAGTTCCAAAATCAAATATACATGTGCTTTATACCCGTTTATACTTGGCCTTAGCTTAGTAGGTAGTTCCAAGTATACCTTGCCTTTTCACGTTGCGTAATGTACGCAGCTATAAGCAGGGTGTAGTTATTTTCATATTTAGGGTATATAATGCGTAATGGACATCAATACAGACATTATACAGGATATCCCAACAGATAACTAGAGGCTTTAACTGCGCGAAAATGGAAATTCCGAATGCAGTTTCTTTAAGGTGAACCTGTTCTCACGACCTAGATGCACTAGAGTTATGCTTACACGTCATTCATAAATAAAGTCGTGGGATTATCCATTGCCTCACTCTTTCGGTAAGAAGTAAAATCCAACAGCACTTTTCTTGTAAAAATTGATCAAGTAGTTACTTAGTTACTCTGCTATTCTCTAAACAGGCCGCTTCAGAAATTGTTTAACGGAATGCTGTATATAGAACCGGTATAGTTAAGATAGAAAATATTGTGTAATGAATTGATAGAACATTTAACTTTCATCATTTTGGCGGTATATTGTTTATCTCATTGTAAATATAGTCATTAATTTTGTGTCATATTTCCGTTTCAAGGAATAATAAAATAACTTATTATTAAAACTTACGTTACCTAATTCACGAGTTATTATATATAAATGTCCGTTTCTTTCGTAATTTAAGAGTGTGGGTTTGTGAATATCTATTCCAATTAAAGTGTGGATTCTAAAAAGGGATTTTTAAAAAGTCTAATTGTAGGCAACAATCGGCTACCTTCAAACTGTCGGATACAGGATTTTGCTAATGGGAGGACTCTTAATTTTCTTTTACTTAACGTTGGTATTATAATGTATAGTAAGAAAAAAATGTTGATTTATTGAGTCCTAAATGGTTCGCTTTCACTTTTGACATTGCATAGTGCAATTGAACTGAACCCCACCCCCACCCCTCTTTACCCACCTCCGCACTTCTCATAGTGGGTTACACTTTTTTTCTCCGTGATCATATCCTTTTTGAAACCAAAATTTTAAAATCAGTTTAGTATAATGTAAGATTCACATCTCCGTTCACAATGAACGATAACAGTAATTGATAACTGATAATGTGCAACAAGCCCTATTATTAGAAGTAATACCGCTTCATAAATCTTTCTCTTATCTCTTATCTAATCAGTTCTCTCATTGTACTCTCTTGACATAAATTAAACTGTTTATTGCGGTTTATATTTGCAAAATGAAATGGCCCCATTAGATCCTTAACTTATAGACTCAAATCCCTGACTATTACCTTATTTTCTTATGCCCCGTTTTCTTATATAACGAGAACGATCTAACGAAGGCACCCTCTAAATAGAGTTTCTAAGCTAAACGCTGTGCGCCTCCGAAGGTTTTTCAATTTTTTGAAATCCGATAACATCATGAAAGTAACCGCAAGCTATTTATTGATTCATATGAAATAAACATTCAAAACACTTACTTAGACGTTGGACACCATGCTCGCTTCCTGGCAAGTTGCATATTTCCTATTTTTCTTAAAATATACTAGATCAATCGAAGATTGTGGTATGGTACTGCGAGCGCCAATAACGACGGTTTTAAATTTAGTCCGTTTATGTAAATTTTTTTCTACCCTTAGATGATCAGAGTAGGTCGTTTTTGATTAAAAGTGAAAGCATGATTCATCCACCAGCCAAAACCTCCTGCCGCAAATATTGCATCAGGTGCGACCAAAGACGGAGCACAATCAGGCCTATGTCTGACTGCGCCTCTATCGCAATCAAAACCTGATATTTAAACCAAGGAAATGTCCGTATGTGATAACTACTGTTATTTTCAGCATAGTTTTTCAAACTTATGTTGGAAGAAGCATTTACCTACATAAATTTGTGTCATGCAAAATTTATGACAGAAAAAATGGTGAGGAGGGACGGAGGAGGAACAGTGGGGCGGAGAGAGAGAGAGAGAGAGAGAGAGAGAGAGAGAGAGAGAGAGAGAGAGAGAGGTTAACTAAGTGAGGGGAAGCAGCTACGTCGTCAACAATTAACTCGTTGTTCCCGGACGGGCTCTCTTTATATCAAGCAAGGAGATATTCATCTCCTTAATTAGGATGCGTCTTCTGAATGACTGAACAGTCATCTATGCGCACCTCAGATTGTCTGGTTGATAAGTGCACTCCATTGTTCCTCAAGATGTCCCTGTATTGTTTGCACCTAACATTATAACTGGGGACCTTGTAGCCCGGAAACCTTGAACAACAATACAGTGCATTGACCAGGAAAACAGAGTATTTTAATACGGAAGCTCATATATATATATTGTTATAAATAAATAAATAAATAAATAAATAAATAAATAAATAAATAAAAGTGGTGAAAACTACGATAAAGGCGTAGGATATTAGATACTTATCGAATAAAATGATGGCGCCATAAAAAAATTTGCTTTGAATTCATATCATTCAAATATTTAATTGAATACAAATATCTAACCACGGCAACTTTTTTCTTTTTCTATCGTGAATTTTATAATTTTTTAAATACTCTCTCTCTCTCTTTCTCTCTCTCTCTCTCTCTCTCTCTGCAAAAGCATTTGGGCGAGAACGAAGCGGGTTGAACGTATCAAAACAGCTGATGAGGTCGTGAAGGATGGAAATGACCATTGATACCATCTACTGATCTACCGCTTATAATTGCGCAGACAAAACACGGTCGAGTCTTTAACCATTTCAAACGTATTTTAATGACCTCTTTTTAACCAGATTAAATGTAATCAACAAGCTATATTTCAATCACGTGAGGAACACAAAAGCGAAAACAAGACGGTTTACATTCAAACCGCTCCGTCTGGCTGTTGCAGGTTTTTACATAATTATCCAAGACAGGTTGTAGTTAGAAACGTATTTCCATGATTCGTTGTTTACGATTCACGCTCCGTTTCCCCTCGTGTACTGGCGGTGTTATATTTCAGATATTGATACCGCTTTTCAGCTTTGGCGAATGGAAATATTATATAACAAACGAGAACTAGGTCAATGGAAATCTGTTGGCCAGAAATCAATACCACTGAATGTTTATACCGAGTCCACCAGCCGAAACGTCATCGCTGACGTCAGCTAGGTCAGTGGTAATTACCGTCTAGTCTCACTTGGATGACCGTCTAGACAAAACAATATCATCAAAAACGCGCGAATCACCGGAAAGGTTGCCGTCCCTGAAAAGCGAAACAACTGCACCAAATCAGGGATGTGTTTTTTGCTTGTACATATGACCCACATGGAAAATAGGTGAAAATTATGCGCAATGCCCTAGTAATATTGTTCTAGGGATACGGAGGGAGGGTGTCTGAATAGCATGTAAATAAACATCCTAGCTGTTACGTTCATCCGCCATAAGTATCGTGTAACTATATCTTAATAGTTTGAAAAATGTTCTAGCATTACAAAAGTGAATATATCTACCACATGTAACATAATAATAATGCAAAAGAAAACCACAGACAGTTTGCGGGGGGTTGTGACGCCCAGCCGGAACAGCCATACCTATGCAAATTAGCTCATGACGAGACGAGAGCTTTAGCCTTACGGAAGCCATTGACGTATACAGACACATGCGAGAAAGGAGCGAGAGAGTTTACCGCAAATCTAGAGCGTTTTAAGCAAAAGTATGGATGCGATTGTCCCGGAGTCGTACAATCCACACCTTAAGAGAGTACTGAAATGTTATCAGGACGCAGCGATACGCAGTTTGAGCGGCCCGAGCGGATACACGGCCGCGTGGAATCCAGCGAAACTGACAAGCGCGGATCACGTCGAACTGGAGAAGTACAGAAAGGCGGTCACGGAAGCCTTAAAACAGGAGCGTACACTAGTGAAATGTGAGTATGACTCTGTGTACGCTTCCCCACCCTTTCCTGTTCAATCCATGCCCGTATTCACCCCCATAGACGTTGCCAAGGGCGAGCGATCGGATACGGTGTTGGAAGGGGAGACCATTGCTTGTTTCGTTGTAGGTGGAGAGAAACGACTCTGTTTACCGCAAATCCTAAACACAGTCCTTCGGGACTTCAGCCTTCAGCAGATCAACAGCGTCTGCGATGAGCTGCATATTTACTGTTCGCGCTGCAGCCTGGAGCAGCTGCAGAGCCTGAAAATGGGAGGGATCCTCCCCTTTCCCGCACCAAGTTGCGGACTGATCACAAAAACGGACGCGGAGAGGCTCTGTAACGCTCTCCTGCACCGTTCACCAGAGCGCACAGGCGAGCCGCCCTCCCCCAACAGCTTTAAGGTGTACCACGAATGTTTCGGGAAGTGCAAGGGGATTTTCAACCCCGAGATGTACACCTCGCCGGATTCCCCTTGCATCGAGTGCTGCGACTGTCACGGACTGTTCAGCGTGATGACATTCGTGGGGCACTCGCACAAAGCCCTGGAGAATAGGACCTGTCACTGGGGGTTCGATTCTGCCAACTGGAGATCCTATCTGTTGTTGTCCAAGGACCAAGAGTGCAAGGACAAGTTACAGAGTATCCTGGAGAGAATGAAAGATCGATTCAATACAAGCCTCAAGAGAAAAGAGGTAAGTGTCTATACTGTAAAGGCCTAATGGCACCATATTCCGTTTTATTCCGTGTTTTTGTCATTATGATCACTGTGTTATTATAAATGTTGTGTTTCCTTTGTTTATGGTTTTCTGGTCTTCTAATCAAATGCTAAAACTGACTTAAATTGGCTAAAGAAAAAGGTCTTGATTTGACATGTTTTAGCCAAATTATAACCATTTTGATAACAAATTGACAAAAATGTGGTGATTTGGGTAAGCGAAAAAAATTGCTAGTGCTACCCTAGCATTTCATTTCATTAGTAAAACTACACCAGGGGGTGATTTATGTGTGTAAGCCTGTCTGTTATGTTATGGGTCAATGATAGTAATCTCAAGGCTGAAGTCTTGAAATGGCACAAAAAGTATTGCTAGGCCTGTAGCAAGCAAGTTCAAAGTTGGGAAATTATTTCTTCGGAAAACATGGGCATTTTAACTCTCTTTAATTTACTGGTCTTTAAAAATGGCATTAAGTTAAGATTTTAGTTTGATTAATGGCACGCCTTTTTACGCTAAGAGGGCAGTGCCCCCCCCCCCCCCCCAATTTCCATCATGTGTTTTGATAACTAAAAAAAATGTTATTTGTAATATATATTTGTCATCGAGAATTTTGAGATAAAATCAATTTTAAAAAAATATGACTTTCATCCCTTCCTCACATCCACTTATTCAGCAAATTCCTGATATTCCTACATCCATTTTTCTGAACCAGTTGAAAGTAATTTTATTGCCTGGGTCCATACCTTGAAGGACAACACTGATAGCAGATGCCTCAGAACTCAAAGCGATAAATAACATGATCAGTAACTGCAATGCTAATAACATATCTTTCGGCTAGTCTTTCTCGACACAAATTAACACTTGTTCACTGAAGGCACTGGGCCAATTTTCAAAGGGCTATTTTACTGTCATCTGCCACAAAACCAGTTTAAAGTTAAGAGCGGAGCAAGACTATTTTAAGCCAAACAGTTTTTATGAGATCACCAAACTGCTAGCATGCATAAGGAGTTTACTAGTTATTTAGGATTTTGAACAAAGCAAAACAAACAAAAAAATCATGCCAATAGTTTTTCCTCTGGTAATGTCATTTAAGTTTGTTACCATTCTAAATACCCCTTTGGAAGAAAAACTTGAGTGGTTAGGTTGGCTTAGAGCGCATTCTCAACGAATTAATCCAGGCTTTACAAAGCCGGTGACCTAAAAATGGCGGACGTACATGAAAGAAAAACTGCCTAATCTTTTAATAGTCTCTCCGCCTCCCCACACGTCGTCCCTGCGGGGAACAGTAATTAAATCGCGTCTCCGCTCGCCATGCAGAAGCTACCTGAGAAATATTAAGTGCGCATGCTCATCAGTTAAACTCGTGGTGAAGAAAGCATGGCGGCTGAAGGCGATCGAAGGAAAAAAGCTCTTCTGTTCTATTATCTTTGAAAACAGAGACGAAAAAGGAATAATTTGGCCCGTAGAGCAGCAATGAATCGACTATCTACGGAGATAATATCACCAGAGATATTCACGGAAATATTAATGTTCGGAGCCGAGATTTAATTACTGTACCCCGCAGGGACGACGTGTGGTGAGGCGTGTGAGAGGCGGAGAGACTATTAAAAGATTAGGCGGTTTTTCTTTCATGTACGTCCGCCATTTTTAGGTCACCGGCTTTGTAAAGCCTGGCTTAATTCGTTGAGAATGCGCTCTTAAATGTTCAGTCAGTATTAAAGACAGTTATATTCTTAGTTGATGACCTAGCTATGGTTAAATGTTTTTTCTGAAATAATCATAATTTATTCAGGTTCTCATGTTGTTGGCTGTCTATGCTAGTTCTAATGCTATGGAAATGAGCTGAATTGAATAACCTAGGAAAGGAGGAGGGGGGGGGAGGCTGGAGAGGAAGTTGTGCTAGACAACAGAGGATAGAAATGGGGGAAGGGGGGAATGTAGACAATTTGTTTGTAAAGGGAGGGAGGAGATGGGGTATGTCATCTTAAAGACAGCCATCTGCAAGTTAACCACAGACAGGTGGGGACGCCTGTGCAGCTTTGTCTACTGATGACCTGGAATGATAGCAAAGTGCTCAACAGGAGTGTCTGCCCTTAATAGCTTTTACTGTCCCACTATCTTTCACCTCGTCTGCCATTTATGCTTATTTTACTGTTATTGTTATTATTATTTTTTTGGGGGGTGGGGGGTGGAGGGTGCGTGTTTGGGAGGGGCATCTTACATGGTCATTAAAATATATAAAAACACTGAAGAGTGTTTACTGTAACTGAAAAAAAAGGGAAGGAGGACCTAATTGCTCATTATGTGTTCATAACTTATATCCTGTTATTCCCTGTTTGAATACAGTTTCGTGAAGTTATTATTGTATCAAGATTAGAAACTGTTACATGAGAGGCATTCTGTTGATGTGCTGTTTTATAATTGCAATTAAATTTACACATGTTGCCTAGTAAAGCTTATTGCCCAGATCATCTCATTGTGGGTAGGATTTGTAGTGGGGTGACTTGGAAGGTTAATTGATAGAAAAAATGACTGCTAGTTGGACTGAATAATTTCAATAAAGATTGGTGACATAAGCGGATTTCATGGTGGATTTTTTTCTTGATAAAGCACAAACAATAGATTACAATTCTTTACATATCTTTGTCAAAGTGACTGAAAAATACCTTCAGCTATTTGTTTTGTATATTTGTTCAGATGAACACCTTTTAACAAAATTCACATTTCATTTAGTATGCATAAAGGTAAAATGTTGAACTTTGAGTTACCAGTAACAGGTGACCGTGTGTTGCACCGAAATATCAGAGGTCGACTGAGGACAACATTGAGACATTATGATTAGATGATAACGTGTTTGTGGTTTGCATGAATAGTCGCATTGTGTAGGTCTTTGATATAAATATCCGATGTAGTGTGTTTTAGTACTTGCATTTTTAAAAAGGGATACTACTTAAGTTGGTTCAGAATAATTCAAACAGTAATGTGTAGTCTTTTTATGCCAATTTATAATGTCTGTTAATCTGACTGCATTCAGCAGGAGTCCCATGGAGTAAATCCGCATTACCTAGGTCCTCATAACTTATTCTGAACAGTTTCTTAACAATTTTTTCTCTCAAGAGATTAAGCAGCAGTGTGTCAGTTATTTCACATCGTGGTTTGACATCCAAAAAATTTTCAGACCACTCGAGTGCTTCAGCCATTTTGCGGTTTGTGTAAGAGCCAGGTAGGATAAACAAATGAGCATATTCATGGGGGGTCTTCCATTTCATGGCGGGACTTCTGAATTATGCATTATTATAACACCTGGAATAAAGGTGTCTGCACTGAAATGGTTCCAGATCTGCTTGCTGATATTGGCGCGGCAGAGAGAGTGGCAGATAATTATAGAGACTGCCAATGGTTGTCGGAGCAGAAAGGTCGGCCTCATTGTGGTTAGCAGGCTGCTCAGTGGCATTTTAGCTATTTCTGTTAACCAGACATTGCAAGATGCTTCCTTGAGACTACAAGAAAAATGAAAACTACTGGCTGAATTTTTTTTAGCAATTCGACACCCACTAGGATATATCTGAGAAGATCACGAATGTAATAGCATTATGTTTGTTATTGTGTGTATGTTACTTTTTTCTTTCAGCGCACTAGTTTGGTATTGATCAGGGAATTTCACATGCAAGTGCATGAGCAAGCGTGCGTTAGCAATTTCGCCTCCCACCCCTTCTAATATTAATAAGCAATCACATACACGCGACCAACTTTTGTCGCCAACACTCCTGTACATGCAAGCACACACGCACACACGTTGTATTTAAACCTTGTGGAAACCTTTACAGCAAAGTGCATTCATACTCTTAGACCTTTTTTCCCCAACATTGCTCTTGCAAATCCATGTAAACACTCACAAACAGACGATTCAGTTGTATATGTATCTATATATCGTATGCATGACGGAGCTGTGATGTAACCATGCTATTTACTCTTTCACTTAGATATATTGATTTCATGTAGCTTTGAGATGGGCATTGATTTTATTCTGTTGCTCAGGGAATGAAAGGAAGCTTTGCTACTGCAAAGTCTACTTGATGTGAACATAAAAGATTTGTCTACAGACTCATGATGTAATGACTCCATATTTTTTTGCTTACTAGATTAGATCCGTCTCATGAATTATTGAGACTTGGTAGTAGGCGGGGTGGTCGTTTCATGGAAAACTCTTTTGAGCTCAGACCACTGTCCAAAATATTACAACTGTTTGAAGATGGACATAATTCTTTTATTTTCCAATAATTTAAACATACAATTTAAAAAAAAATCCCGTCCAGCCCCCCCCCCCCCCCCCCTTCCTAATCACACCCAAGGATTTTGAACTAAAACTCCATAAATTATTGAGTCTGGGCTCTGTGTGTTTTGGCCGCTGTTAGGTTAGACTGCTAAAATTGGATAGTCTGTAAGATAATCTCAACCTTGTAATATAAGCCCTACAGCGTTAAACAAATAATGGACCTACAGATAATGTAGTAGACTGCATGGGTCATGTTCAGTAAAATTGTCATGACAACATTTGCTCGAGGAAACTGCTACCTAAAAGACCCTAAACTCGTAACTGGCTTTGTTTTAGCAGAAAAGGGAAATGCTTTGAAATATTTATGGAAATGGGGCCATAAATGTGCTTGCCGTTGAGCCCCAGCTGGTTCATGTGCACTTGAGTCATTGTCTCGATTAAAGGTCGATTCTGAGGAAAAGATTTACTACGAAAACTTGATAGGCTAGGTGGATACAGGAGGGCTTATTTCGTGAATTATAGCAAGTAATCCATCCCTTGCTCCATCAATTTTACAAATCTTAGCAAATAAAGATCATCCAGAATTCATCCCTTGCTCCATTACGACGGAAAGAATGCTCTGTAAATACTGTGCAATGAAGGAAGCTGGAGAATTCTTAATCTCTTAGACACAGCTCATATTCCCTGCTTGGAAACCATTAAG